ATTATTTTATATATTGTATTTTATATTGTTATCGTTATATAATTATTTTTGTATATTAGAATTAGAGAAAGTTAAAGTAATTTATTTCATATTCTGGAATAGAATCTCTTTAAATATCAAATAAAAATAAAATAAAAAATAGGAAATTGTTGAAGTTAATAAAAAAATTTATATAATTAGAGAGTCGAATAAGTAAAAAGGTAAAAAAGTATAAGCAAAAAAAAATTAAAAAATAAATTGATAAAGTAGGTAATAATAAAAAATTAGAAAAAATCCGTTCTTTTATAATTTTTCATATACAGAAAGAGTTGAATGCACAAGAAAAAATAAGATATTTTTTATGTATGTTTAAATTATAATAATTAAAGAGACATACTTTCGTTGGGTCCAAACGTATCCGTCCATGTCTACATCGCGCATATCAATGTCTTTCTCATATGTTTTTATATCAGAAGGTACTGACAAGAGATTACTGACCACATGAGAATAAAAGAAGCCTCTGTTATGATTGTACGGATCTCTCTTGGTACCGTAATATTTATGATGCATCTTATGCCAAAATACCCAGTTATACATCGAACCCTAAATACAAATAAAATCTGATTATTTTTATAATTTACATTTTTATTTTTTTATATAACTGCATATTTTCAGATTGACTTTATAATTATTATAGTTAATTAACATGCCCGCTACATATTACATAATATCCCGAGTATGATGACAAACATGATTTGGATCTTTACAAAGCAACGTCATGCAATGTAGAAGTGATAATAATAGCTGGCCAATTTAGCTTCATTAAAAATATATTTATACTAAATATATTATATTAAATAAAACTAATAAAAATTTTGCAAAATTTTTCAAAATTACATTTTTTAAAAGAATGATATAGCACACAGTAAAAATGTTCAATGTGCTAAGACTATAGATAATAGACGAACTTAATAGCCATGAAAGTATAAAAGAAAATATTAATAGTAACATACTACCGAAAAGGAAATTTATTTTATTCTAAATTTTATCTTATTATTACAAATATAATTGTATTTTAATTAATTGTATTTTAATCAATACTTATTGACATTTATTGAACTATTCAAATAAATAGTTGAATAATTGAATAATATTAAATATTTAATATTGCATAAATCTTTTACTTACCACGCCTGCGATAGTGTGTGCAAGCATTATAAAGAATCTGATTTGTGATGAGGCAACATATGTTTGATGTGCATATAGTCTGTGAGCTCCCGCTGTCAATCCAATGAAACTAATTGTGACGAGAAATAAAACTAAAATCAGCAAAGCAGGAGATTATTAAATGACTATCAAAAAAAAAAATGGTAAACATATTATTATAAAGACTATTATATATTCATTATATATTCAC